GTTGTTGTCTCCTTATATTGTTTGGGGCAATCCTCCCTTCATGAAATAGTTTTTGGGGTTGAGTTATATGTGTAGTTGTATAAGATACAAGGATCGTGATTGGGCAATATTTTTGAGTATTAGAAGTTGCAACTATAGCTAAATGTTGATTGAAGCAAGTGATTGGAGTAAGAATTGGAATATTTGTAAAGAAAAGTGAACTTATGCTCACAAGTTACGGGACACTAGAATATTTTTTCCACATAATATTTCTGGCTATACAAGTGGAAAATCATTATCTTGCATATTTTAGTTGAAAGAAACATGAAGATTTACTCTCCGTTTCAATTTATTTGTTTTACTTTCCTTTTTAGTCCCTTTTTTTAAAAGAATGTCTCTTTTCCTTTTTGGCACTCTTCAATTCTAACTATCCACGTGGCATTTTTAAGACCTTAAGATTGCAGGGTATTTTAGTACATTCAACATATCTTTACTTTAAGACCACAATATTCAAAAGCTTCTTTAATTTCATAAACTATTGTCAAGTCAAAACCAGAAAAACTAATAGAAATGGAGGGAGTAACTTCTTTGAAATACCCTGGTGTGAGATCAAGAATTTCGTTGGCCAATGGTAATTAATATGTTTACATGGATGCATAAGGGAAGAAGGATGGATATGTAGAACATCATGAAGCATCATTTTATTAGTGAAGATACACCAGGCCTCCACTCCCATTGAGTTACTTTTTACTCCCTCTGTCCCTAATTATTTGTCCACTTTTGAATTGGTACACTTATTAAGAAAACAATGATTGGTGTAGTGAGTTTACCATTTTATCCCTATTAATTATGAAGTGGATGAATTAAAAAGTTAAGATTTTCAAGAAGTTCTACCTTTTCATAATTAATTAATTGAGGGTATAATAGGTAAATTTATTTTATCATTTGTTGATTTGTCAAAATGGACAAGTAAAAAGAGAAAATTGGACAAGTAATTAGGGACAGAAGGATACCATTTTTTAATATGTACTCCCTCCGTCCCATATTAGATGTGCATCTTACTAAAGTCTAAAAGTATTTGTCCCATATTACTTGACCACTTACTAAATTAAGATAGAATTAATTAATTTTTTTCCATTTTACCCCTACAATTACTATGGCCTTGGGAAGCTTATACTAATTTTGAAGGTCAAGAATTTCTTTTTTCAAGAGGCTAATTAATATGAACAAAGGGTAAAATAGTAAAGTTGATCAATCTATTAATTACCATGTAAAATGGAAAGTGCCCATCTAATATGGGACAGAGGGAGTACTATTTATAAATAAATAAAAAAACTATTTATAGTACGTCCTGAGCAAGGAAGAGAGACCTACACATGGTATTCATTGACCTCGAAAAGGCCTATGACAAAGTACCGAGGAAGGTCCTCTGGAGGTGCTTGGAGGCTAAAGGTGTCCCGATGATTTATATTAGGGCGATAAAGGACATGTATGGTGGAGCCAAGACTCGGGTTAGGACGGTTGGAGGAGACTCGGAACACTTTCCAGTTGAGATGGGGTTGCATCAGGGATCAGTCCTTAGCCCTTTTCTATTTGCTGTGGTGATGGATGAGTTGACGCGGTCTATTCAGGAGAAGGTACCATGGTGTATGTTATTTGCGGATGACATAGTACTGATTGATGAGACGCGGGACAGAGTTAATGCGAGGCTGGAGGTGTGGAGACAAACGCTGGAGTCCAAAGGGTTCAGGTTGAGTAGGACCAAAACTGAATATTTGGGATGCAAATTCAGTGATGCGGTGGATGAGGCAGATGGGGAAGTGAGACTGGACACACAGATTATTCCCAAGAAAGAAAGTTTTAAGTATCTTGGGGCTGTAATCCAAAGAAGTGGTGACATAGACGGTGATGTCACACATCGCATTGGGGCGGCTTGGTTGAAATGGAGGCTTGCCTCTGGAGTCTTGTGTGATAAGAAAGTTCCACCGAAACTTAAAGGTAAGTTCTACAGAGTGGTAGTTAGACCGGCCTTGTTGTATGGAGCGGAGTGTTGGCCAGTCAGGAACTCACATGTTCAAAAACTGCATGTTGCGGAGATGAGGATGTTGAGATGGATGTGTGGGCACACTAGGAGCGATAAGATTAGGAATGAGGTTATCCGAGAGAAGGTGGGAGTGGCCTCTGTGGTGGACAAGCTGAGGGAAGTGAGACTGAGATGGTTTGGGCATGTGAAGAGACGGTGCACAGACGCCCCAGTGAGGAGGTGCGAGGGGTTGGTTGTAGAGGGTACGTGGAGGGGTAGAGGTAGGCCTAAGAAGTATTGGGGAGAGGTGATTAGACAGGACTTAGCTCAGCTTCGCATTACCGAGGACATGACTCTAGATAGGAAGGAGTGGAGGTCGTGTATTAAGGTTGAAGGTTAGTAGGGCTAGCGTGTTGTCTTCCCGTGCGAGGGTTTTGGTTGGTAAAGTTTGTAGTAGTCCTAGCCTTGATCTTGTAGTTCTTGTCTGTGATCATATAGTCTTGTGTCGTTTACTGAGTTTCACCTCTCACTTTATTTTCTTGATGTTATTGTCTCCGTTGTTGACTATGCACTTCTCTCTTATTGGGTACTATGTCATATATAATGTTTCCTCTTATTTTTCTTGGGTTGTTGTACTTGAGCTGAGGGTCCTCCGGAAACAGCCTCTCTACCTCCACGAGGTAGTGGTAAGGTCTGCGTACACTCTACCCTCCCCAGACCCCACTTAGTGGGATTTCACTGGGTATGTTGTTGTTGTTGTTGTTGTATAGTACGTCCTGAGCACTGTTGTCTTAAAGCAAAATTAAAGCTACTTTGGAGGATCAAGGAAAAGGTTTGACAAACAAATAAGACTTCAAATGGCACCTATCTCTACTCTAAATGAATCTGTACTTAGTTGCAGATTCACTTGAATTTGTCAGTTGGAAAAGGCATCATTGTTTTATCTTTTTATTAAGGTTGATGTACTTCTCATTGATATGTTCTTGCTAATTTGTCAGGTCTGAACAGCTTAAGCATCGGGTCTCATCTGCGTCTCTTGGCCTTGACGGCTCTTGGAAGCCTCTTTTATACTTAATGCTGCCATTCCTGCTCAATTAAACCTTTATTGCGAGCAAATCTCATGAAATGATGATACAAGTAACGAATATCTTTAAGTTAATAGTGCTGAAGGTTCTGATTTTCCTCTAGTACTCTAATATGTACAAAAGCAGCTGGAAAATCATGATCCGGAGTAAGAATCCCACTCGGAGAAGATTCCAAGTTTGAGTTTTCCGACCCTATTTGTTCCTCATTCTTGCGTAATGAGGAAATTTTGTAAAAGTAATTCAGGAGGAGGTTGAATTCCATGTAATTATTTATTTCCACTTAGAAAAAACCTGTCTTGTATTGTATATGTCTGAAATTCAAAGTCCTGAGAAATTATTGTGTCATTAGCTAATGCATTAGGTAGGTCTCTAGGGGTTGGGATGTTTTGTTTGTCATTTTTCTTTTGTTTTCAGTTATGCATCAGAACTAATACAATATATCACAATTGTACCATCTATTTCTGTTCAGTAGATAAAGGTATTGCAAATTGCAGCACCTTCCAAGTGATAATGCAAGTGCTCTTCTTATTTAATTGCCTAGACAGAGTTGCCAATGTGAGATCTATTACACTATCTTTGTAAATTATCTTGTAATAAAGTGTCAATTACTACCATTTTCTTGAGATAGTTAACTATGCTAATGTGGATATTTACTTGTGTTTTACCTTATAAATGATCTTAATGTAGGTATATGAGATAAGGGTAAGGTTTGCATAGACTCTACCGTCTACACTGAGAATGTTGTTGTAGTATTACTTTGTACAAGTTTTAATGATTTAGTTTTAATAAGAAAATGCTCTGATGCTTTATTTTTTAATCTCGATATTGCATTGGTAATCTACAAGGAATAAGAATCTTTGTTTTACTTTTACAATGCAACAAGAGTGCATGACAATGTTCTTTTTACAGTAATGCACATTTAATTTAGGGAGTCCGAATTTTATTTCTCATATTTTATTGATCAAAATAATTGTCACTTGGTTAAGATCAGTAGTGTACAGTGCATCTTTTTATATTTATTTGTTCATTCTATCCCGGATTATATTGCGCATACTTAGGGTTGCTGATTGATTTCTTATTTAATTATATTTAACAGAATTCCAATGACACGAGTCAAATTTCTGCAGCTAGTTTTTTTTAAAAAACAAATGGCTGCAGCATAGTAGGTTGATTTTGTTTGGGTGACAAATGAGCGAGTTGGATTAAATTTTCGTCCAAATCTTCTTCTTTTCGACCAAAAAAAGTGCCATTGCTCTGCTCAGCTAGAATTGCTGCATGTTGAAATAGAGAACCCAATAATTAACGGGTACTATTCCTCTGTTCAATTTCCTTTCAAAATGATTCATATAGTCAATTTCAAAATAATATTAAACTTTTATCCCTTTTCCCTGAATAAATATTAATGGTGTTTTACTTTACTTTCTTCTTTTGTGTATTCACCTTCTAAGGGAAATGCGCCTTTAGTCTTTGCTGTGATACACAATTTTTCTACATTCATAATCATTTTAATAATTTATTGCATTCATATTCTCTTCCTTTGAATTTTCTTTCCCTACTTACAAGGAAGGAGAAGATAATATATTTCGAAATTTAAAAAGTGTAATGGCATACTATTATTATTACTTGCAATTAAAGTGATTGAGGCAGGGCAAATATATTACTAGTAATTGAAGTGAGACAAACTATTAATATGTCATGATTGTCGCTATTCTTTTGGTACATACATATCCCATTCCTTTCATCGGTACGTGCTATTAAAATAATAAAATAGTACTAATATGTGTAATAAGCTCAGTGCATATAAAAAGTAAAATAAATAAATTAATTTAAGAAAGATTTTAAACTTTTGACCGTATAGTTCAATGATTTACCTTTAGACTTTAATGTAAAACTATTTGTTATGTCAAATCAGATAACGCCTAACAGTCTAGTGAAGTTGTTAGTGGGTCGCTTCGAGCAAGAGATTGCTTAGACCAACGGATTTCATCGTTTAGTTTTTCACCTATTGAGTTGGTAGATAAGCATCTTGATTCGTATTGATTTATTGAAAACATGGATGAGTGTTTTCAAGATAAGGGGCCAAGTGAACCTTTACTAGAACAGAAAGAAGCAGCAGTGGAACATGTAAGCTCTGAGCTTGAAGACATATTGTCCGACACAAGATTGTCGCATTTTCAGCGGCTTGGACGGGCATCTGCCGTTGAATTCAGAAATCTGTTTCGACTAGCAGCTCCAGCAATCATTGTTTATTTGCTCAATAATGTTACTTCTATGTCTACTCAAATATTCTGTGGTCATCTTGGTAATCTTGAACTTGCTGCTGCTTCACTTGGCAATGAAGGTATTCAACTCTTGGCCTATGGCGTCATGGTAAGATTTGTGTCAACTTTATACTTTACATGGTACTTGCTGTACTATTTTTACTAACTTGTACAAATTGCAGTAGGATTACCTTTTCTGGTACATATGAGCAGAGCTTCTTTGGATTGCTCGAATTTCATATACTCAATTTATGTCATATATATATTGTTCAGATTTTTGAGATTGACAATGAATTCGTACATAGAATCTTTGGTTTCTCGAATAAAATTCACATAACTACATAAAAAGTATCTAAGCAAAACTGTTTGAAAGTTAACCCACAAATTGGGATGGATAGAGTTATAGTTTTCAATTTTAATTTACTGAATGTAAGACGTAATGATGTGTTATTTATCAATTTTGTTGGAGCAGTTAGGGATGGGGAGTGCAGTGGAGACACTATGTGGACAAGCATATGGAGCTCACAAGTATGAAACATTGGGAATATATCTTCAAAGATCGACAATTCTGCTTATGTTATCTGGAATACCGATTATGGTGGCTTACTTATTTTCAAAGCCAATTTTAATCTTACTAGGAGAATCAGAGAAAGTTGCATCAGCAGCTGCATTATTCGTTTATGGTTTAATTCCTCAAATATTTGCTTACGCTGCCAATTTCCCCATACAAAAGTTCTTGCAAGCCCAGAGCATCGTGAATCCTAGTGCATATATAGCAGCAGCCGCATTAGTCCTACATCTTTTCCTAACATGGATTGTACTTTATGTATTCAAGTGGGGATTATTCGGAGGAGCAATGGTTCTAAGTATTTCATGGTGGATAGTAGTCGTTGCGCAATTTATGTACATATTGCAGAGCGATAAATGTAAGAAAACGTGGAATGGATTTAGTTCGCAAGCGTTTTCAGGGCTGTGGGATTTTTATAAGTTGTCAGCTGCTTCATCTGTGATGTTGTGCTTGGAGACTTGGTACTTTCAGATTTTAGTTTTAGTTGCTGGTTTGCTTCCAAATCCTGAAGTGGCATTAGACTCTCTAGCTGTTTGGTTAGTGAATATCTTGTTATCAATTAATTTTATTTTCCTCTCTTGGATTAATGTCCTGATGAAATGGAATTTGTTTTGCAGTAATACAATTCTTGGATGGGTGTTCATGATAGCTGCTGGGTTCAATGCGGCAGCAAGGTTAGTTATCTATTACTGAACTACTGCATAATCATCGGCGGATTCAGGAATTTTGCTTTATGAGTTTAACTTTCGAGATATTTGTATTAAATCCATTATATTTTTAAAGTTATGCGTTCATACCTATTATTTATTGCAATTTCGTTATTTTTAGCATTGAACTTGTTAGCTTTAAACTGCATCCGCCCCTGTGATAAAAAGGCATTCAAAATCATAGTTAGGCCTTTTTTCTCCTTTTCAATTACATTAGGTCCACCACAGTATTCCAAGAGTGATGAGGCGAATTTGGTTAAATTTATAAATTTTTAAAAATTGCAGTGTGAGGGTGAGCAATGAGTTGGGAGCAGGGCATCCGAAATCGGCCTCATTTTCAGTTTTGGTGGTGACATTAAGCTCATTTGTGATTGCTGTAGTGGCAGCCATAATAGTGATGATGTTTCGCGATGTGATGAGTTATGCATTCACTGGAGGCGAAACTATTGCTAAAGCAACTTCAGAACTTGCACCACTCTTGGCTGCCTCTATAATTCTTAATGGCATTCAGCCTGTTTTATCTGGTCAGTCCTTCATCAACCTTTTCTTCTGTTTTCGGCATTAATTTCAAGTCTCAAGAATAGTACTAATTTAATTTTTATTTTACTACATCAGAGTCACTAAACTACTTTTCGTTACATAAAAAATATTTCAACTTTGTTAGACTATTAATTGGAATATCCTCATTTATAGTAATTAAGAAATCATGTTTTAGGCCAAAAAATATGTACTCTCTACTTTTTTTGTGAAAACAACTCAACGAAATAGAGGTTGCACAGTTTTTTTGCAAAATTTCAAACAAAAACTACTGTAGATATATTGGACGCAGACATGTAAGGACAAACAACACGTATTCAATAGAAAGAAGAAAGAACACTGCATGTGCCTTTTGTTTGGATATATATGCTAAACACAACAGATTTTAAAAAATTGATTTGACAAGGAGAACAGGACAAATATTTTATGGAAGACGGTACCCTGTGTAGTATTTTTTTTAAATTAAAACTATTTAGAACTAGACAAATAATAGAGAGGAGGGAAAGATTTAGTTGAAATTAATTAGAAAAACGAATTTTTGAATAGAAGGTGAAAAATGGTATTAGAGATGAATTTCATTTGATTCTGACTTAGTTCGAGCGTCTAAACAAAATATTTTCACACCGAAGGGGTGGCTGTTGGGTGTGGATGGCAAGGTTTTGTGGCATACGTTAACGTGGGATGTTACTACGTAGTTGGTATTCCATTGGGTGCTCTTCTTGGGTTTCACTTCAAACTCGAAGCTAAGGTATGTCTATTCTTCTCCTCACTATACTTTCTTTTTTGTTTTCGTAGAAATATTTTATTTATCTGATATTCGATATTAGCTTATTTCGTAAAATCATTTGAAAAAACGTGGACAAATGAATAAAAGGTTATTCAGAATTTAGTTTCCATTATTGAAATTAAAACAAATTTGTTTAATTAACTTGGGCAAATATGTAGGGATTATGGCTGGGCATGTTTGGTGGAACAGCAATGCAAACTCTTATCTTAGTATGGGCCACTTGTACAACCAATTGGGAAGAAGAGGTGCGTTTTTCACAAGACTTTTTTTTATTTGAGATTCAAACTTGAGATAGTTGATTAAGTTAACATTCTCGAAACAAAAAAAATTCAAATACTTAATACTTATTAATTAATAATATACAACATTTCATACATAAAAGAAATACTAGTATAAAATTATTAGGCAATTAAGGCCGGTGTTCCCTTTTACTTCAAGTATCTTCTGAATATTGTTGTGGTAAAAGCTTGATTTTATTATGAATTACTGTAATTTAAATGTATGCAAGTTTTATTTTTAAAGTTATTAAGAAATTGATTTTTTAAAATTTACTTATAAAATTAAATGTTTGGAGTCATTTATTAATGTTTGGGATAAGGGTCTGAAAAATACCTCAACTTTGGTTGAATTTGTTGTTGCGATACTAAACTTTCATGAGGACCTATTACCTCCCTAGACTATTTAATACCGTATTTTAAACATATATATTTGCCCACGTGGACATAAAAAATAATGCAAAATTATAAATAGTAATGAGTCCACGTGGGCACATATATACATTTAAAATACACTATTAAATAGTTCAGGGGGTAAAAAATACGGTAATAACTAGTCTAAGGAGATAATAGGTCCTTATGAAAGTTTAGTATCGCAACAGCAAATCCGACCAAAGTTGGGGTATTTTTCAGACCCTTGTCCCTTAATGTTTAGAACATTGAACAGTTTTCTGTTAAAATCAGCCTCATTTTGTTTTCCTTGTTATGTTTTAGCTCAATTTCTATTAATACTGCATAACTGAGCAATCCTTTTTTTTTCAGGTGGAGAAAGCAAAAAATCGATTAGTTAAGTGGCAAGACAGCAGTAAAAAACCATTATTAAATGAATCATAAGAAAAAATCCATACGAATTATACATTACCGGATTTTATTTTATTTTCCAATTCATATTCATGCAAGTTCTACTCCCTTCGTCCATTTTTACTAGTACATATTTGACTTGACGCGCTCCTTAAGAAATAATAAATAAAATGATAATTATACAAGTAAAGATCGATAGAGGGAGTGAATTATAATACATGTATCGTAGATATACAACTTCAGGCATTGGTTTTATAAAAGCTTTCTTTCGATTAATTACGGCTACTTCCGTTGGCCTTAATTATTACTGTACTTGTTTATAATCACTAATAATAAATAACATATGAATAATTAGGTTCTCTATTGCTTGTTGTAACTTACAAAATTCAACATTTTTTTTATTTTATTTGATTTGAGAATCCACCTCAAACAACAGCTAAGTTGAATAATTTTTCCACACATATATATAAACTGATGTCGATATTGTTGATCAAAATTGTAAACCAGGTGACTAAGTTAGTGGAGCAAAAATGCAAAAAATATGCTTTATCTTCAAGCAAAGAAAGAATCAATCAGTAAAAGATAAACTAGCAGTGTCCAAGAAAAAGATTATGCGCAGAATAAGTTTCAAAGTTTCAAGATTGGAACCCTAGGAGAACCGGCACTTGTTATCCTTGGAACATGTACGTGTAAATTCTCTCTTATACAATATATAGCTTATAAATCGCGCAAAAAATTAAACCACACTAAATAAGTTGTGCAACGAAAATAGATTTGACAGGGAATCGAACACTGATAACTGGAAAAAGGAGAATGAAGAATCGAAGGGATAAAATTATATTGATGCGCATCTACTTAATTTCCAATGATCACATAGCACTGAAAGATGGCTATTAAAATCTTTTGGAGTAATAAGAATATAAATGAGTTATACCCAATTAATCGACACAATCTTTGATCAATCTAACAAACCACCAAAAAGAAAAGATTCCAGCTTCAATATATATGTATGGTATGGAGGATATTTTTAAGTCAAAAATATTATGTTAGAAAATGTTTTTCTGAAAACGTATGTAATTTTTCTTTATTTATTTTTTAGTGTTTGATTAGTATGAATAAATTACTCCCTGAGAATTTATACATAATTAATTAATATAGAAATTTAAACGTTAGGGTGTGAGGATGGGTTAGGAGGTGGGGTTCATGGTCCGAGTGAGGGGTGGAGATAATACTATCAGACTATCAGTGTGGAATGTCATTTGTGAAATATGTGCATTTTCACTTGTGAAACTTGCTTTCTTAGAAAAAAAATATTTAAAACATTTTAACTGACCAATTTTTTTATTTTTCTAAGAAAGTAAAAATATATATTTTCCTTTCCCACCAAACACATTGTTAAGCAATATGTACACTGTTGGGCAATGTAAGTTGGGCTTTGTTTCCAATCGTTAACACATCAAGGATATGAAGTGAATTGGACGATCCCCTCTCAAAGAAAAATGGGACAAGCCCATTAAGCCCATCTGGTTATATGGTAGAGAAAATAATTTCATTAATTTAGGAGCTAATTACTTAGATACAATATGGTTTGCAATATTACAAATATTATAAGATTTTGGTGAGTCTCTAGATATGTCCAATATCTTGGGTTACATGAGACAAAATTAGGTGAAATTTATTCTAAATACATTATATCCAAGTGGATTTGCATGTATCTGGAATACATAGACAAGTCGCGCTCGCCACTCTCATATGTATCTGATATCCCAAATACATGTAAATTATACCAAATAAGAGTCTGAGATACATAACTATCTCCCTCTCCATCTCGTTTGCCTCTCTCCCTATTATTTTAGTGTATCTGATAGCAAAGATAATCTCATCCAATGTAGTTTTCTTGGTTGTAAAGCTTCTTACCCAAAGATAATCTTCTCAATTACTCATAATTTATTTATTCAATTGATGTCATAATTGGATTTGTAGTCTAAATTATATAGGAATAATATGTTTTTAAAATTTTGAATAGTCATGATAAGAGAATTTCAGAAATCTTTAAGAAATGTGTTGAGATCTTAGTAGACTATTTTTTGGATTTTTGTATCCTTCCAATTTCATCAACCAATAGTAAAATAATCGACTAGATTTGGAAAAGCAATGGCTCAAAGAATTCAAGTATTGCGGTACACATAACAAGCAAAATTGGCAAATATAATAGAGGAGTGTGGGATCTCTGCATTCATTCATTATGGCCAATTATGGTAGGTAATAAAACTGAAAGTACCATATATTAGGAGCATTTATTCCGACTCAACTACTCAAGGGACCATATATAAGATTTTTAAGTGTTATTTATCAATTAAATCTTACGAGATACCCCCTACTCATCATTGTTAAACCTATAAAAACGTGTATGAAAAAGATTGAAGATTTGTGAATGATTTATTTTCAATCTTTTTCACTTTGGTTTTGTAAAAACAAGTACTAAATATTGAGAAATAAAATAATCTGATTATGGAAGTCCCATTGAGATGTATAAATGCTGCTTGGCCAATTACTCGGCTAACATAATATGGTGCAATGGATGAAATTGCGTGAGAAATCAAAAAAGACGTGAACGTTTCATTGGGCAGTTCATTAGATCAATCAAAATGTTTTCTTGGAAAGCTGTTTTCTTTTTCTTTTTTTGGGGGGGGCAAAATATTTTCTTGAATTATATCTCCACACAGTCCCTTTCCTCTCCACAAACATTTGCAGGAGGGTGGGGTTATATTAAGTGGAAAAAAAAAACAAAGCAATTTATGAGAAACGATGGCTGAGTTTTTAGAGCAACCAATCACAATTCAAAAAAAAAAAAGTTCATAAAATGCATTTATTATTGACAATTTTTATATCAATTATTTATTGATTAAGCGTCAATAATAATAATAATGGAGAAATATAGATGTATAGATAAATAATAAGAAACAAAGAAAAAAGAAATTAAAAAGTAGTTCGTCGTGACGCCTTAGGGATTATTTATTTCATTTTAAAGTAGTTCAGACTCCACTACTTTAAGGTGCATTTGACTATTTTTTTGGTCTTAATTATAAAGAGATATTATTTTTGGCTCAAATTAAAAGGAAATTATATTTTCGTCGTGACGCCTTAGGGAGCATCTGATATGTTACTTCATTTGATAATGTGTAATAATATAGTATTTATTTTCCAAAAGATGTTATCTGCAATTATTAATTACTTAATTATTTTGCTTTATCTCGTGAGGCTTTAGCATGAGACAATGACCCAAATACAAATAATTCAGGCTTAAGATAGATATTTATGACTCAGATCCCATGATGAATATTCTTAACAAGTTTTCTTTTTAATCAAATAATATTATAGAACCTTAGTTTGTCATTCTTTAATTTGGCAGCTGATTGAGGATTGCGTTATTAACTTTTTTCCCTTTTCAATCCCAAGTATTAAAATAAGGGAAATTTGTATAATTTTACATATTAATACACTACAAAAAATAATTGAGTAGTAATAAAGGGGTAAAACACCAATTATATATAGTAAAAAATAATAAAAAATGAACACCAAATATAGTTTTAAAAAAAGTCGAAAAGAGTTTATGCAGATACACTACTTGGGAATGGACGTTTGATACTTTGTGCAACAATGAATTATTGACATTAATCGATCTTTTGACTTTTTTTTTTTTTTTTTTAACCTTTTCCCCACTCCTATACATTCCGAGGCGGAGCTAGGTGGGGGTTCATGGGTTCGGACGAACCCACTAGCTTTTTCGTAGATCATATATTTGTATTAGAAAATTAAATAAATATATGTATATTAACATGTGAACCCTCAAATAAAATTGATTTAGAACCCCCAAACTCCTAATATTGGCTTCGCCTCTGTAATAAATAATACAGTCCATTTTTGCTCCTTTAATTTGGATTTGATTTAGTGTTATTGCTACTTTAATTTCTCATTCAAGTAGTGGCTCCAAAAGTAGGTATCAAAAGCATGTGTTGTGCATGGAAAGTTTATATTTACTACTAGCAACCAATCTGTCAAACTAGGCAGTAAATACATATAGCATGAACCATTCTTTTGTATTAAGCTTTTTTCACTTAAACTTGATGAAGCAAGATGTTATTTGCGCATAGTGTTGAATAAAAATTTATGCATATAAAGGTTGTGTTTGGTAAGGAATTTTTTTTAGTTTGATCGTAATATTTTCTCTAAAAAACTAATTTCGTTATAAATCGAGAAATTTCTTCAGAAAAATATCTTGAAGAAATTTCTGATTTCGCCGCTGATTTTGGAGAATATATTTCTGTCAATAATTATCACTGTGGAATGTGATTCTTCAATATGAGGGCCAGTAACTTCACTTTTTCTTTGAAGATTACAGGTTCCTTCTAGCTAAATTGGAGACCAAACCTGAAAAGTGTTGCTTTCGTGATTAAAAAAGATACTGATATTTATGTCTTTTAATATTTGGTGTATACCTATAGCCTTTTGTTGTTTACTGCGTTTCACTTCTCTCATTGTTTTATTGATGTTACTGTCTCCTTTGTTGATTATATACTATCTTTCTTATTGGCTGTTATGTTTTATACACTGTTTTCCTCGCCTTCTACTTGGTTTTGATGTACTTGAGCTGAGGGTCTCTCGGAAACAGCCTCTCTACCTCTACGAGGTAGTGGCAAGGTCTGCGTACACTCTACCCTCCCCAGACCCCACCTAGTGGGATTTCACTGGGTATGTTGTTGTTGTTGTTGTTTGTAATACTTGGTGTATACAAGTAGACATTTAAATTTGTATAAAGTTGAACAAGTAAACACACATTATCTATGTGGCATAAGACACATAGGACATCAAATTGCCACGTAGGACGTACGTGTCTACTTGTTCAACTCTATATAACTTATAAGTTTAACTTCCTACCTATCCACACCCAAAGTTGATGGGCATAGATGCCAACAAAAACGTTTATATATTATGCCTTTAAAAAGAACACTTTACAAGCATTGCCTGAACCCCATAATCGAAAACTCAAAACGTGAATGTAGTGTTTTCACAAATATTTATCTCTTATTTATATTTAGTTTCTTAAACTTTATATTGAGTCAAATACACTAAAATAAAATGGAAAGAATGAAGCAGTATTTAGCGGAAAGGAAGTTAGAAAAAAAAAAGGGGTAAATAATTTCATAATTGAGTTAATTATTCATTTCTTATCTTCCTCTTAATAAAGTGCATCTGATCTCTGTGATATATATCAACAAGTCCTGTACAAATAGTTATCTTTAATGATTCCATCTAACAACTCCAACAATACTGATTAAGACATGCCATGCATTTATTTATATTATATGCCAAAACGATACGATATTTTTATTCTACATGCTCATTAGGGTATGGTATTGATTCTACAGCTGATCTAAAAACAGTCGATTGATTAATTAAAAGGCGTTTCACTGTATTAGTGCATTATACGTCCAAGATTTTCTTAGTTTAATTTGTAGCAGATGATAAGAGAAAAAGGATGTAATTTTTAGTAATCCATTTGTTCTGTTTTGATATAAGTACTGCAAAAGACAGATTCCATCTAACAACTCCAACTATCTACTGATTGTTACATACTATGTATTAGTTACATTCTTTCACAAAATGACAATACATTATATACCTTTCATTAAACGTCGAGACGACAGCTTCATCTATTATTTATATGGGTAGAAGCTACTCTCATTTCATTCAACTTGCTCATTAGTATGGGAAAAGTCCTGGAGTCTGAAGCTGAGCAGCCTTTGTTGCCTGCTCATGGGGCTAGCTCTGAGCTCGAGGAGGTGCTATCCGATTTCCAATTACCTTACTTTCAACGCCTTAGGTCCGCCTTTTGGATCGAATTCCAGTTACTTTTTCGACTTGCAGCACCTGCAGTAGCTGTGTACATGATCAATAATGCTATGTCCATGTCTACTCGAATCTTTTCGGGTCAACTTGGGAACCTTCAGCTTGCTGCAGCCTCTCTTGGCAATCAAGGCATCCAATTATGTGCTTATGGACTTATGGTATATTTTTATCATCTGACCTGAACATCAATTAAATGCTTGTGGCAATATGTTGGTTATATTTGTTCATTATGGTTGAGGAATTTTTTAAATTTTCCCCTTTTTAGTTAGTTGAGAACTTGAGGATGCTAAACAGGGGAAACAGAGGACTTTTTTATGACAAAAAAATATCACGTGTATAACTTTTCAAGCCTTTTTTTTTCCTTTTTTGATTGCAGCTAGGAATGGGAAGTGCAGTGGAAACTCTTTGTGGACAAGCATATGGAGCTAACAGATATGACATGCTAGGAGTCTACCTACAAAGATCAACAATAGTACTTTCCATAACAGGCATCCCACTAGCTGTAGTATATTTATTTTCCAAGAACATACTGCTCGCGCTTGGTGAATCGAAACAAGTTGCATCAGAAGCAGCAGTATTTGTGTATGGTCTAATCCCTCAAATATTCGCTTACGCGGTGAACTTCCCTATACAGAAGTTCTTGCAATCTCAGAGTATTGTAGCCCCTAGTGCCTATATTTCACTAGGGACTTTGTTTGTACACTTATTGCTGAGTTGGATTGTTGTATACAAAATTGGACTGGGATTGATAGGGGCATCACTGGTGCTGAGTCTTTCTTGGTGGATTATTGTGTTAGCACAGTTTATATACATATTGAGAAGTGAAAGATGTAAGACTACTTGGACAGGTTTTCGATGGGAGGCCTTTAGTGGATTATGGGAATTCGTGAAGTTATCAGCTGCTTCAGCTGTTATGTTGTGTTTGGAGACATGGTATTTTCAAATTCTAGTGTTGCTTTCAGGTTTACTCAAGAATCCTGAGCTTGCATTGGATTCTATCTCAGTTTGGTGAGATTTTGTACTTGCTGTTTATTTGTGTGCTACCAAAAAACTACATTCTATTCATATTATTAATACCACTCTAAAAAGTTTAGGTTTTTAAATTACTATGACTTCGTCGTGGATTCTCACCTGTTGTCTTATACTCCAACTATATATTATTATATACAGAGTCTTGATCCTTAATTCGTCATTAAGGAGAAATAATTGCAATTGTACTCTACACGGATCCACTTCTGTTGTCCTGAAAAGTTAATGTTTTTTATATTTATTTTTGTAGCATGGCAGTGAATGGGCTGATGTTCATGGTTTCAGTGGGATTCAATGCTGCTGCTAGGTACAATTTTACCTGTTATAATAGATTACTAATTATCAAGTTACCAAACCATATATACTTGTAGCAAGACATTTTTATACTGTCGTCGGTTTATAAAAGTTAAACTCTTTGATCAGTGTGAGAGTGAGCAATGAGCTAGGAGCAGCACATCCAAAGTCAGCAGCATTCTCAGTGTTTGTGGTGACATTAATTTCATTTCTCATAGCTGTGGTGGAAGCTATAATTGTGCTATGTTTGCGCAATGTTATCAGCTATGCATTCACTGAGGGTGAAATTGTGGCCAATGCAGTTTCTGATTTGTGCCCTTTTTTAGCTGTCACACTTATTCTTAATGGCGTTCAACCAGTCTTGTCTGGTAAGATATTTCTCGTCATTATTCTCCTTAATTATAGGATATATACATATTGCTATATACGCTGAAAAGATAAATTATTTTTTATACTACCTGTATAATCTAACATGTTATAGCAAGTTATTCGTCTTATTCTCCATGTACTAATCATGTTTGTTATGAGTTGTCTTCGATTACGATGTCACAATATAAAAGTTAAAACTCAAAAGTCATTAAATGTCTGAAGAATAACTTTTTTGTTGTTTGTTCTCAAGAGGTTGATATCACATCCTTGTTTGAGAGACGAATCGGAGAAAAAGAGACCCCATAATAACCTATCATGCGCATGCACGTGTCACTCTTAGATAGTCCCATTTGGAAAGACAAAAAAAAGTTGTTTTCTTCTTATATTTTTTTGTATAGCCATCGTATTGTAAATTAATTTTCAAAGTTAGAGTTACGTTTCTGAGGCCTACTTTCTTTAAGAGTTGAGTACCGTCAAAATTTGTGATGTGGTATAGTGATAGTAAGTACCTTTTTTTCTTATCCAAAGATTTTGAGTTTAAGCTTTCAAAATTAAGTCACTTTTGATCAGAAACATTTTTATCTCCAACATGACACTCCATCGTAAATCCAAATAAGTTAAACCTAAAATGGGTACTAAACAAAGAGTGGGAAACTCATCACTCATATTGAGTTAAATTTAAGATCCATTTTCTGATTACAGAAAATGGATCAAAGACATAGCCAAAGGCAATCTTGCCTGATTAATGAGAATAATAAAAGTGATGCCATGAAGGGACGTATAACCCTCTATCTCATCATTATGAAGTGCATTAATTATTATCGTGTCCCTCTAATACAAGCTTTTTTTCATTCTAACTTGTTCTCCTTTGGCTATCAACTTTAACAGTTTATTTGACTTCCATAACAAACAAAGTCAATGCTATGATTTGAAGTATATGAATTTTAAATATGATATTGAATCTATAGCTTGTTTTAGTTATTGCGTTCACAATTAAATATAAGATTTAAATAAAAGTTATTGAGTTCATCTAAACTCATACCTAGCATGGTACCTCAAGGAGCGGATCTAGAGGATTTGTAATGAATTCATGACATGAACTTAATAGTTTTTGTCTAGATCTAATATTTTTTTTATAAATTTAATTATTATTATTATTATTATAATATTTACTTAAAATTATAAATTTTAAATCTCGCATCCACCTGTCTATAACAAACCTAATCACCATCTTGCATGTGGAAAATGTTTCACCTACGTCCTAATTGTTAGTACTAGGGGTGTTAGGTGCAGTCCATATTGTGCACATGTCCTTAGATACCCCTACCAATTAATATTTTCCTTTTGACAAGTTCATTTGAACATATTTTATTCTTTGTAGATAAATTAAAGTGGTAGTAATTAATTACCATATTTACTTCACACAAAAAATCTGTAAAAGCTTATACAATAATTTTGTTTCTTTGTGAATTTTCAGGTGTTGCTGTTGGTTGTGGATGGCAGGCATTTGTTGCATACGTGAATGTAGGGTGTTATTATGGTGTAGGAATTCCATTGGGATGTCTTCTTGGCTTCAAATATGACCTTGGTGCTAAGGTTTTTCAATTACACACAACCTTATATATCTCTAAATATTTTATAACACACACACACACACACATATATATATATATATATACGTGTATTAATTAATTGGATATAAATTGGCAGGGAATATGGACTGGGATGATTGGAGGGACTGTATTGCAAACCTTCATTCTGATTTGGTTCACATTCCGTGCAGATTGGAACAAAGAGGTGCCTAACTCACTTCTTTTCAACTACTCCCTTTCTGTGACTCCGTCCATTTTTACTTGTCCAGTATTAACTTGACATACCCCTAAGGAATAATAAATAGAATGACAATTTTACTTTATCACTCTTGAAATATAATAAATTCAACATTGAGAAATAACTATAGTTAATAACAAGAGTAAATTAGGAAATAAGTGGTAAATTATCTCTTGATTTTTAAATTGAACAATTAATAGTGGACATCTGTTTTTAATATGATGGACAGATGAAAGTGGACGACGGAGTACTATAACTTCTAAAGTTATAAGTCAATAGTTCTTGGGATGCAAAAAGAAGTTTGTAAATTAATTTGGATTCTTTTTTAAAATTTTCAGGTAGAGAAAGCTAAAAAACATTTGGACAAATGGGAAAATGTAAAAGAAACTCTAAGCAAGGAATGAAGATGGCGAAGAAGTCATCAACAGTTCACATCAAGGGTTTTCTGGCGTATCTACCAAAAGAGAGTCGAAACCCATTATGAAATAACTTGCTATTTCTGAATTTCGAAAAAACAGATAAAAATAATTTCAGATATTATGTGATTTATTAGTATTCTATTTTAGCTGGTATTCAAAATATTCGATTCAAGTAGACAGAGATGGTTGAAAAAAATTGGTTTGAGGTTTACTTTCAATGAATCATATCACATATGTAAAAGGATAAACTACCTTATTAGACATACATCACTGCTATATATACTAATATTATCTTTACTTTCAAATAATTACATATATTACCACTTTTAATATTTTATACCATATATTAATATATTATTTGAAGATACAATTAGATTATTAGATACCCACATACCTTAAAATTAGGATTGATTAATTATCTGCTTAATTAACTCTTTCACTCCAAATCAATCACTATCTCTTAATTCTCCCCTCCCATATTTATCACTCAATTATGTCTCCTCCTTTATGATTCAGGAATTTCATCATACAATTTCATTCCAACAATAGTTAATCTACTCTCTTCTTCTCAAGATATCATCACCATGACCGACAAATTCTCCTGAACCCAAATATTATTCTGTATTGTTCATTTATAACTAGATCAAATCAAAGCAACTGCTACAGAGAAAACTTTAATTCAGAGCGAGTCTTGATTGTTTGTCTCCGGAAGAAATGGATCTTAGTTTTGATTATGTTATGCCACAACGCAAAAGGATCAAAGGGAGTATTGTAGAGAGTTTTTGTTTGCTGGTGTTCTTCTAAGGCTTTCTTTGATTACCGTGACATGAATTTGGTAGTATCAATATTACTTTGATATAGCCCTTGAAACATGTGTATCCAATAAGTAGTAATCTTAATTAAGATCTGAATTGTATTTTTAGTAATGGAGTGTCTGACCATGTATATGTATCCACCATTAAATTTCGGATACATGATTTTTAACAACACGATGATATTAATGATACGACAGATACTCTACAGTCGTGATTTGTTCCTAAATTCATGTGATTCAACTACATTTCATATTTAGATACACATAATTAAATGTATATGCTTATTATGTATTCGAGATACATGTTTTTGGATATAATGTATGAAATTTAAATACACATAATTAGATGTATATGCTTCTTATTTTTGTATATTTCATATTTAGATACACATAATTAGATGTATATGCTTACTATGTATTCGAGATACATGTTTTTGGATATAACATATGCAATTGATACTTGATACATCAAATTAGTACTAGATACATATAAAAGACACATGAAATTAATATAATATATATATATATATAAATAGATACATAAAATTAATACTAGATACCTATAACAAATACATGAAATTAATGCTAGATACTTCTATGATACATATGAATGTACTTGCAGGACACTCATGTATCCAAGTGTTTAGTTTGTTGGATACATCATATATTGATATAGATACATCTAATGAATTTATTATTTTAAGAGTAATAATTTGAAATTAATCAAATTGCATTACCAAGATATACATGTTTTTATCTTATATTAATAATATTAATGAATTTACTATTTCAAAGAATAATAAAATGAAATTAATTATCTATGTATTTTGAAAATCCTCAATTACTCCTCTAATTAAGAAAATCAGTTCCAACCAATTAATTTAAATAAATAAATTTTGTATCTCAATTTTAAAATTCGGCAGATACTGCATGTATCTCATGGATTCAAACTCATGTATCCTAAGCATAAAATATGGTATAGGAAGTAATATTTGAAACTATTGAGAATCTTAATAATTAAGACCTAAACTAGTGGGATTTATGTGGTTTAGTAAAAAACCATCGTTTGTATCTGCACGTTTCTTGGTTGATTGTGTTATAAAGGGTGATGTCAACTTCAATTCTGCAATTACGCAAACAATGTGCAATCAAATTGATACGATAAGTATCTGAGAAAAAATGAGAGCATAATAGGAGAATAAAAATAGCAACTGCATTTGCATATGCTAAAGGGTCATGCGTTTGGTTACCAGAATTAGAAAAGCATTGCCTAATATAAACTTTGGTATTATTTTATCATGCGTTTGGCTAGCATTTTACTCCCAATATACCTAAAAGATAGTATAATTTATACAGCAATTCCAGTACTATTTATATACCAGGTCCAACAAGGGATAACTTGTAAGGAACTTATCTTTACGGGTATAAAACAACTCAGATAACTTGCCAAAAATTATGAATACGTATGCACCAGATAATCAAATGATTATTTATCCATGTGTTACAATTGTTGCAATACAATTCCTATCTAACTTTATCCGCAACCAAAACAACCACTAAGGCTATTGCGCTACTCACAATAGAAAACAATCAGAACAAAACGGATGAAAAATCTTTAGTTTTTTCTTAATATCCAAGTACAGAATGTTTCCAGCATGTGTTGCCTCCTATATAAGCAGTCAAAAACTACAATAGCAGCAGAAACTCTGCACATAATCAATTTATATTTTTGAGGCCACAAGATAACACAATGACCTGAGGAAGTGAATCCACATTATGAGAAACGTGAAATTTGCATAGATAATAAATGATTCTACCCAAAATAGAGAATGTGATTTGATTTAAGTACCGGAGATAACTCGCAATAAGCCTCTAGTGGCTGGTGTTTCCTCAGCCTCAATAACAACTAATCTGATCATTTGTCATGCCTGCTATCATACTTGTCTCTGATGCAGTTTAATCTACATCCATCCCATCTTCCCTTTTATTTCTGGGGTTTGAACCTGAGCCATCCTCAGTCTTTGGGGAGATGACTTGTGCCTCATTACATGCTTACACATCCTGAAATGTGTTACACAAAATTGTTGCCCATCAGGCAAAGAAAAAGTTGATGCTCGAAAACACGAGATGCAGCAAAACTAATAAGCTGCAGTTCTCTCAAGAGACACTTATTAGGATCTTCTAATTTTGGTCTTAACCATAATTCAATAACCAATCAGTAGTAAATTCTAACTACTTTGTTAAGGAGTAAGGCTAGAATTGCTTTGCTTTCAGGGAAGTGATGCCTCTTCTATGTGTATGTGTAAGTGTAGGCAGTTTAAAATGAGGAATATGTTCTCTAAGTCTGAAAAACATGTGGAATTATATACGTGTGTGTGGATGGGTGTGTATACCTATGTAATACTCACACGCACACACATATCTACGATTACAACCTTTATCATGTAAAACTACTAACAGGAATTTTGGTTGAGTGTTTTTACACCGAAATTAGAGATAAATTCAAAAGTCACTCGCATCTAGTTCTTTAGGGATTGAAATGGATGTTGAAGGGATTCAGACTTAGTAGTTCTTGTATAATTTTGTAGACAGTGCAAAAATCTAATTTTGTGGGTGAGTGAAGTACAGAAAACATGCAACCATAAGATGTCTAACAACCGTGTGGGGAAACAAGATTCATGTTAATTAGGCAGGTTTTTAAGATGACGAACATACGCTTCAAAAGCCTCAGTCTTTCTCTTGATTTCAGTAGACCACAATACTGGATCAGCACTTCTGGGCAATGTCTCCTGCTGGTGGGATTTATCTCGAAGCCACTGCTCTGCTTTATGGCATTCATTAATGACCTGCAAAGAAAAAATTTCAGGTTAATCACAATGTCACAAGGACCTGTAGCATGTTATATATAGACAAGGTCATACAGCTTCTTTCTCACTGGCTGGAAGTGATCCTGCAGCCATTCGATGTTCCACAATGGTGTTTAATAGATGCCGTGTTGCTTGTGCCCGCGCCTCTTCTTCCTTATATCGATGCTCCACAGGGTCCACCATCTAATAACATAAGGTTGATTGCGTCACTTTCAAAATAAGCATTGGAAAAGAAAAACTAAATTCTGCAACTAATACCAAATGACAAGAACCTTTTTAAGATCCTCTAGCTTCTCTGCATAAACCTGTTCAGACTCATCATCTCCATCTTCATAGAGCCATTCTTCAGTCTGTTGTAGATTACAAGAGATACCCTCCCTCTCCGAATCCGTAGCAAAGCTCCGGTAGGTATTCAAAAGCTATTCAAATAGATGCATAAAGTAAAGGAAATGGGGCAGATACTGATAACAATAACTAAACCAAAACCAAAACCAAAATTTAAGAAATGGTGTATTTGAAACTATCTGGAAAAGGACACAAACTTCCGTAACAAAATGACAAGGTACCAAATAATGATAAAGAAGTACTATCAACTCCAACATGCGTTTAAAAGTTATGAGTGTCACATAGTGGTATTTGCAAAACAAAATTACTCAGAAGGACGACTTAAAAATGCAAGTGATACTGCCAAATTCAACAGTCCACCGAAACCTGAAAGAACGTGACTTGTAAAGGAAAGGATAATGAGAAAGCAAAATTTCACATTGATGCATTCATCACTCCTAAACCTTCTGCTTCAGTTTGAAATTTTATATTTTAAAGATTAAAATGTTATATCCTCAAAAGATGTATTCTTAACTTAAAAGTGTGAAACAAATCAGTTGAATTGAAGTCTTTCAAGCAAAGACAATTATGAGAATTAAAATTGTCATACCTTATTACGAGTTTCATAGACGTATGCCTCCAGGGTGTTTTTCTTGTCTTTAGTTCGCTCCACCTTTATGTCTTGCTCAGCTAACTGGCATTCCTTTTCCTGAGCTTGGGATAGCTCCACGAGGGTCATTCCACCATCAACACTTTCACTGACAGGAATATCCTGTCTCTTAACGGCCTTACTTTTCCTTATATCATCTCCCTGCATAAAGAACCACAGGATTCCATTCACAAGTAGCCAAGTACACATTTGAAATAGGCAAAAGGCTTTTAACCAAAGAACAATAGCACACAAATGGAATAACAACTCATTGATGTCCTAGTGTAGGGTCCTAGTTTATGACCAAGTTATAATCAGCTGACATCGGATAAGTATATTCAAGGAAAATAAATAATCAATTACCCTAGAGTATGCCCTAACTAAAG